CTGTGTGGCTGTGCCCGCCGGGCTGCGGCTCGCTCGGTCCAGCTGTGTCCGCCTGCTGTGCCCGCGGCTGCCCGCGGCCCTCCCTCTCCAGCTGTGCTGTGCAGGGTCAGGGTGCTGCGAGCAATCCGCAGGCGCTTTCCTAGATTACAGCCCCATTATCTAATCAAGCAGATCCACGGTGCTGATTAGGGCTGGACGAGTCCCGTGGGGACAAGGTTATGGGGCCACTGCGGGGCCATGGCCAGGGCTGGTCCCAACCAGCAGCGCCAGTGTCCTGGCTGGCTTGAGGCTTCCACACCGGTGGCTGCCCAGAGCACACCATCAGCCTGCCATGGGACGGATGGGACCAGAGCTCTGGCTGCTGTAAACTGGGAGCTCCAGCAGCTGCTGAGGCTCTGGCTGTGGGGTAGTACAGGGGCATAGGACCTGTGGGTGCTGGCACCTCAGCCCTGGGACCTTCTGCTGTCACCAGGGCCTGCAGGGATCCAGGGATGTGGCCGGGCTCATTAGCACCGGTGACCTTCGCCTTCCTGTCCTGGCCAGCGCTAAGCGGGTTTGTTACATATTTAATATCCTGAGAGCGTTATTAGTCGGTATTTAATGACGGATACAACCTGTGGGATAATCCCAGACTTAGTGGGGAGGCGTGGTGGCAGGAGCAGGTGGCTCAGGGGGTCGCAGGCTCTCGGGGTCCCTCACAGCTGCCCACCGCCCCTGCTGTGCCAACCACAGGAACCCCCCAGTGCCTTGCAGGGGTCCCCACTGTCCATAGGGCTGCAGGACCCTTCCCCTTCGTCCCGGCAGTGCTGGGGCTTGGGTGAGGACCTGGCCAAGCCAGAGGATGAGCAGGATGGGGCAGCATGGCTTGCTGTCTTCCTGCCAGGCTATAGTTCTTCCACCAGCCCCTGGCCCTCCAAGCCGCCCTTCCAGAGCACAGGGGGCTCTGCCACCCACAGCCCCAAGTCAGGGCTGGGCTCATGGATGGGACACAGCCCAGCACTGCAGTAAAGCTCCAGCTGGGCTGTGTGCTGGTGGCTGTGGGTGTCCGTGGGGCTCATGGTGGGCCCCATGTGCCAGCTCCGGGGTGCCACTGTCCCCAGCCCTGGGAGCTGCGTAGGCTGTGCTGAGCTGGGGGGCTGGGAGGGACCAGGGCTCTGGTGGTGGCAGGCAGGCAAGGACAGTCCCTGCAAGTCCCTGCCCAACAGGGGCTGGGGAAGGGGGGGTATCAGGTGCCCCAGATCCTGCTGCTGCTCTCGTGGGTGCTAATACCCCCTAATCAGCTGTCAGTCACTGCGGACCCCAGCAGCTATAAAAGACCCGGGAGCAGCTCCCCGGCTCCTCTCCTGCAGTATGGCAGCACCTTGGGGAGAGAGGAGCCCAGGACAAGAGCTGGGGGGCTGCAGGGGGCCTTGGGGTACCCTGCGGGGGCCACCCCAAGCCCTACTGCCCTGCCCCTACCCCTACTCCTGCCCCTGTCCCATTTTGGCCGGGTACAGCCTCCTGCCACCCCCTCTCAGCCTGGTGACCCCCCTGGTAAGTGCCGCGCTGCAGCTCCGGGGAGGAACGGGATGCGGGGCTTTCCCGGGAGCAGGACGGGACCGTGTGGGGTGGTTGGAATCGGGGCTGGAGACCTGCTGTCCCGAGGCCCCTGCCCCTCCCCGGAATCCTCCTGCCCACACACACATCCCCTCCTGCACTTGGTACTCTGGGTGCGCACGAGAGAGGACGCAACGGGTGGGATCCAGCTCTGCCCTCTCCCGCACACAGAGGGCCGAGCCCTGACATCCCACAGCGCCTCTCCTCTGGCCATCATGCCCCCCTGTCCCACCCTGACACCCCTCTGCCCCTCCAGGTCTCAGCACCCTATGAGGCGCCGCTGGGGCTGCCCACAGAGCCGGGGCGGGCGAAGACGACGGCGACGCGAGAGAGCACCGGGGCACTGAAGGCTTGGCTGGCACGGCACCCCAGGAACCCCTATCCCAGCAAGGGGGAGAAGGTGATGCTGGCTGTGGTCAGCCGCATGAGCCTCACCCAGGTCTCCACCTGGTTCGCCAATGCCCGCCGGCGCCTCAAGAAGGAGAAAAAGGCGAGCTGGGCCTCACACAGCGCCTCAGATGGCGAGGACAGCGAGGGCGAGGGGGTTCCATCGGGTGCCATCCCCATTCCCAATTCCAGCCCCATGCAGGATGGGTGCGGCGGCAGCCCCGAGGGGAGGACAGGCCCTGGGCAGGACAAGCAGCCCCAGAAACCCAAGATCTGGAGTGTGGCAGAGATGCTGGAATCCCCTCCCAGCAAGAACGGGTGTCCCCCGGGGGTGCCAGTGGTGCTGGAGCAGGTATAGGGCTGGGACAGTCTTGTCCTGTCCCCAAGGGCACGCAGGAGAGGCAGCCACGGGATCCAGCAGCTGCCTCGCCACGGAGAGTGGGAGATGTGGGTGGGGAGGAACACAACACAGTAATAAATGTGACTCTGTCTTGGGTCTCCTGGTGGTGTCTGTGTGTGGTGGGGCTGCTGGTGGGGATGCAGGGGTGCCAGCAGAGATGGCAGAGTAACTTCACTGCCAGCGCTGCAGCAAGCAGCCCCTGTGGAGCAGGGCAGGTCCAAGGCAGATTTAAAATTAGACTTTGCCCTTCTTGATAAAAGTAATAAAATGGTTAGCGGTGTTAAATTAATTCTTACAAAACAAAACCCAAGGAGGTTAAATAAAGCCCGGAGGCTTTGCAAAAAAAAAAAAACCACAATGACTACAAAATAGCTGCAAAGATATCTTTACACACCAAAGAAACTCCTCCACTCCTCCCCTCTGGGACACAATGTCAGAGAACACGAGACTCACAGATGAGAAAGAAACACAGATGCGATGGGAGCAGCCCCACGAGGAGCGTGGGCACCACAGACAGAACTATTTACACTATGGACACGGAGCCGTGCTGGGGCCAGTCCGGCTGCAGGAGCCCCCGGGCTCTGCCCGTCCCTCTCCTGCCGGGGCCCCTCTGGCCGCTCAGTGCCCAGCACTCGCGCTTCCTCAGCCGGGATTAGTGTCCTTCTCCTGCTCTTTGTCTGCTCTGGAGGAGGAGGAGGAGGAGGAGCTGAGGTCTGGCCCAAATGTTTGTAGGCTGCAACGAGCTCCTGCAGCCACTCCAGCCAGTGTGAGCACCCACATGGGAAAGACAGTGCTGCTCTGCATGGGAAGGCACCAGGCACTGAGCTTCTCCCCATGGTCCAGGCAGAGCATGCTGTGGGTCAGAGGACATGTGTACCTCAAGGGACAATGCCCCAAGCAACCCGAATCCTGCCTGGCTCAGGCACAGGGGTTGGCTGTGCAGGGTCAGGAGTGGGGGAACCCGAAGACCTCCAGGCACAGGCACTGGCAGAGGCTGTAGACAATGCAGAGAAGGAGGGTGGAGGGCACAAGACTGACCAGGATGATGCCCAGGCTGTGGTGCTCGATGAGCAGGAGGTAGATGCCGAAGGGCAGGGAGCTGAAGTAGAGGAGGCAGAGGACACCCAGAATGAAGCGAGGGATGGCTTGCCACCCCCAGGAGCGCCACTTCTGCCCAGGGCCGTGGCAGGGCAGAGCACCCAGGCTCGTGGGGCGGTACAGCCGCACCACCTCCAACCTGCCCAGGCTCTCTGGTGGGGCTACGTCCTCTGGCACCTCCAGGATGGTGACAACCAGGCAGTCGGGGCTGGATGTGGGCTCCAGTACGCTGGGGCAAAGGAGTACCTCAGGAGACAGGGGTGGACCCCGTTTCTTGGCTCGTTCTCGGCCTGTCAGCAGTGCCAGTGCCTCACCATCATCCTGCAGCTGCTGCACGTCCCCGCCCGGCACTGGGCTGTGCTGGCGGCAGAAGGGGCAACGGAGCTGAGGGGTTGAAGTGTCCCCCGGGGGAACAATCCTGCGCAGGCAGCGGGCACAGAGGCGGTGGCCACAGCGGAGCAGCTTGGGCCTGCGGGCACGGGCGTCGAAGCGGCTGTAGCAGATGTGGCACTCCAGCTCGGGGGACGAGGGTGCCACCGGCGGGGACACCAGCTTGCTCTCTGGCTGGGCCATGCTCCTGGGGGGCTGCTGGGGGCTGCCCGGGCTGCGGGGGGGGCACCGCTGTCAGCCAGGGCTGAGGGCAGGCCCCGGGCCCGCCGCCTCCCACGCGTGGTGTCCCAGCTCCGCCGCATGCCACGGTCATTGTCCCGGTCAGAGCCGGCGGCTCGGTGGGAGAGCGGGGCAGTGAGAGCAGAATGGTGGCGACAGTCCCCTCCCCGGCCTCGACTCCAACCCCCGCCCGGTGCCACCGGCGCTGGCACTCGCCGTCATCCCGGCCCTGCCTTGCGGGGAAAAAATCGCTCGCAGGGGCCGGCAGCAGCGGAAGGACAGCTCCCGGGCACATCTTGGCCCTCACGGTGCGTGCGGGTTCTCTGGGGTCCCAGGACGACCCCGAGCACCGGCTCTGCCGGCGGCGGGGACCCCGCACCCCGCACCCCGCACCCCGCTCCCGGCGAGCGGCTCTCGGTCCGTGCTCCCCGCCCCCGCTCCCGGCCCGCACCGCATCCTCTCCCGTACCTGCGCTCCGTGCCGCGGCTCCCGGCGGGCACGCAGCGGCGGGTCGGTCCCCGGGCTCGGTGGCACGGGTGGGCTCCGCGGCGGCGGGCTCGGGCCCGGCAGCCCCATGGGGGGAGGCGCGGGGCGCTGCCCGCCGCGCTGCGGGGGCGAGCACGGCGCAGGGGCCGCCGGCAGCGCCGCGGCGTTGGCCCGGTAACGGGGAGCGGGGAGCGGAGGGGGAGCTCGGACGGGCCGTGCTGGAGCCCTGCGGAGCTCCTCCTTGCAGAACCGGGCCGCGCCGGCTGCTGAGGGGTAGGCGCAGGGGTCGGTGCAGGGGGCGGTGCGGGGTTTGGTGCGGGATCGGTGCGGTTCCCGGTACTCCCCGCTCACGGTCAGCCCTGAGGATGCTCCTTCCCGGTGTGGGGCCTGCGGTAGCGGCGCTTGGGGTTCAGCATCCCCGGGGAGTCGAGTCGGGGGCACTCGGGGGACACAGCACTTCAGGTTCAGCCTGGGCACAGCCAAGCGTCCTGCTCAACCCACGCTGCAGGGTGCGTTTCTCAAGCCCAGTCATATCCACCCCCAGCTGCTGCCCTTACAAGGCCTTTCCAGCAGCCCCGGGGGGACAAAAGCACTCAGGGATCCCCTCCTTCCCTCCAGACAGGAGAGTGGCTGCACTGCCCACCACAGGGGCAATGGCAGTGAGGTCCTTTTCGTTCAAATCCTCCAGGTTTAGTACAGCCTGATGGAGCTTTTCTGCGACGGCTCCAGCTCCTGCTGTGCCTCATTCCCCTCAGTCCTGCCCATACCACCCACTGCACCCAACTGTCCCACAGCTGCCCCTCACACCACAGCCCCTCGCAGATTGACCTAGTCCTGCTTATCTACCCTTGAAATGCCCCCAGTGTCAACCTGATGTGCTCCATCGACCATCTCTTGCTCTGTCAGGATAAAGGAGACTCGAGAAGCAGCCCACACCACCAGGCTTCTGGCCACTCATGTCACTTACACGTCCCTTGTGAGACCACAGCCACTGGATACTTAACCAGGTAACTCACCTGAGGGAGCAGGCAAAGGGCTCCGTGCACAGACTGATCAAGGGGTGGGTTAGGAACACTCCCAGCATCAGCACGTCTGTGCTCATCTGTGCCTCAGAGTAGGCAGTCTTGGGTCAAAAACAATGATAAAAAGGGGGAAAAAATAGGCTTTATGAACTGCCATATTCACAGCTGACATTCCCAACTTCCCTGACTAAAGGACGTCAGCGATCTCCTTGCCACCATCAAAAGCATCGCTGGAGAGCTTTGAAGTGTCTGGGAATGGGCATCTGGTGCTGGGCAATTCCTGCCCACTTCAGGGTGGCAATGGCACCAGCAGTGCTGCGGCACTGACACTGGTTCAGCACCAGCAGTGCTGAGGCACCCCACAGGAGAGGCTGGCTCTGCTGCCTGCCCCAGCGAGTCCAAAGGCAGTGCACTTCCCTGCACTTCTCCAAGAGGAGAGCACCAAAACCTCACTGAAACAGTGTGGTCACCAGGCTGCTTCAGGGGCTCACACTGGTCATTAGGAAACAAAACTCACCAGGAGGGCAGGGCTACCTGGAACAGGGCAGATGCCAGATAGTTCTGAAAAACCAAACCCCAACATTTTTCTACCTTCCACCCAGGCAGAGACCAGACAGGGGTGAGCAGAGACCCCAGACACCAAAGAAGGCAAGTCACGGACACAAGCAGAGCTGTATGCTGGTTTTAATGTTCCTAAGAACTAGGAAACAGAAATCAAAAATAGATTTTGCTCTTCTTGATAAAAGTAATAAAATGGTTAGCGGTGTTAAATTAATTCTTACAAAACAAAACCCAAGGAGGTTAAATAAAGCCCGGAGGCTCCGCATAAAAACCACAATGACTACAAAACAGCTGCAAAGACATCTTTACACACCAAAGAAACTCTTCTCCTCTGCTCCTCCCCTCTCCAGGACACAATGTCAGCGAACACAGGACTCACACATGAGAAAGAAACACAGATGCGATGGGAGCAGCCCCACGAGGAGCGTGGGCGCCACAGACAGAACTATTTACACTATGGACACGGAGCCGTGCTGGGGCCAGTCCGGCCGCAGGAGCCCCCGGGCTCTGCCCGTCCCTCTCCTACCGGGGCCCCTCCGGCCGCGGCGCTCAGCGCCCAGCACTCGCGCTTGCCATCCATCCCTCCATCTGTTCCACCGTCCTTCTGCCTGTCCACGCGCGCGTCCCAGCCCTGGCTGTCCCTTCCCTCGGCGCTCCGGCGTCGCGGAGCTGCCGGCTCCTCCTGCCGCGCCACACTGGGCTCCCTCGCCCCTGCTGAGGGCTGTGGCTGAGCCTCCTCTCCCACTGGCCGCCGGGCGCTCCCGGCTCCTGGGGGCTGGCGTGCAGTTCGCAGAGGAGAGCAGGTGCCGTGGAGCTGCTGCGCAGGAGTCCTGGGCCGGTGCTGTGCAGCCAGCAGTCTCTGCTGCCCCGGCCAGCCTCCCCCGGGGCCACCGGCACCTCCCCTGCTGCCTCACACCTCTGCCTTAGTTGGGATTAGTCTCTCGGCTGCTGCTCTGCTCTCGGCCCAGCTCCCGCTCTTTGTCCGCTGTGGAGGAGGAGGAGGAGGATGAGGACGAGGAGGAGGAAGACGAGGAGCTGAGGCTTCGGCCCGAATGCTTGTAGGCTGCAACGAGCTCCTGCAGCCGCTCTGGCGTGGGCTCCCACTTGGCAAAGCCGGCGCTGTTCTGCAGGAAGAGGACGGCTGTGTTGTGCACAGCCTTGTAGTACATCTCCTCCCTGCAAGGGAAGAGCACAGGCATCAGCACCTCCCCTGGCCCCCCCCACCAAAGCCCATCTCCTCTTACTGCCTTCACTAGAACAAGTATTTGTCCATCCTTTCTCTCATTATTCTGAAAATAAGGGGGACACAGTGCAGCCTCAGGCAGTTCTGAGTACAGTAGTAGAGGCTCCTGCGCTTCAAGAGGGAAAAAACACTGATACTGCAGAGCCCCACTGCTCCCTACCAGTACACGCATGTGCTGGAACCTGCCTGTCCCTGCAGAGGGGACTCAGCACAGCGAGGTGTCAGTCCTAAGCAGGTAAGAACTTCAGTTTTCAGGCACCTGTTGCTTAAACAAGCTGCTGCTCATACTTGTTGCCTCAGCAGCAGAGCAGAGACCAGCCTGCCCCACTGCAGACCAAAGCCCCATTGCCCCTTGCCTCTTCTCCCCCACTGACATCCAGCTGCTGCAGCACAAGCAGCTCCTGGGCCTGAGGGCTGGCCGAGCACAGACCAGTGCCACAGGTGTGACCTGTTCCCACTGGACTCATGCCCAAGGCATAAACCTCTCACAAGCTGAAGTTAGCAGTCATTAAACAGACGTTGAATTCACCATGCTGTCTGCCCATCCTAAACACCCAAAGTGATGATGCGCTGCGTTTGTCCTTGCCTGCTCCCTGCTTCCCACTGATTTCAGCTTGGAAGAGGATATTTCCGTCACACAGCTTCAGAGCTGTGTTCCCAAAGGATCTGAGAACAAAGCCTACTTTTTGCAGACGTGCTGAGACCCGCTGCGGTACTCGTGATCGAAGGCTGGCAGGATGAGCTGGTGTCGCTTGAACTTGCTCTGCTCCATGCGCGTCAGGGCTGGCGTGGGGGGGTCCCGCCACTCAGGGATGAAGACAATGAAGGAGAGCGGCTCACTGGAGCTCTCCAGCAGTTTCTAGTGCAAGAAGAAAAGGAACAATCTCAGCACTAACTGAGCAATGACGTGTTTAATGAGTCCTACAGAAAGGAAATGCTTCTGCTTCAAGAGCAGTGCCCAGCTGTCAATGTCCTCTGTCCCTCAGGGTGCAGGAGTGGTGGGGAGCAGAGGATGGACAGCACAGCTCCATCCCAAACAACCCCACTGGTGAGCGGACATACCTCAAAGTGAGAGACCATGGCATCCATCAGCTCCTCACAGAACGGAGGATTTGCCTCAAAAGAACCACTTATAGGGAAGAAATCCAGGCATGGGCTGGAGAAAGAGGCAAAGATCCCCATCAGCTCATCGTGAGTCATCTCACGGGCACGCACCCACACCCACACAGAGCAAGGGAACGTAATACTCACCCCCTGGATCCAAAATACCCGTCTGTGTCCAAGAAGGCTGAACAGTACTGTTTAAAATAGCAATTCAGGGGCGAGGCAAAGCATTCAAAACTCACTCCAAAGAGCTTGTGGAGGGCTTCAAAGATGTGCACGGGAAGTGCCCCTTGCAGACCAGTCCCTTCATACAGCCCCACACCGAACATCATCTGAGGAGAGCAAACCCTGGTGAGCCGTGCCAGCACTCGCTGCTCCTGCTGTTCCCTTCACTGACCACGGACCCAGGGCCACATGTCCATGCACCCACTCCTCTAGGTATGCAGGGCCCCCTCGTCTTTTCTCAAATTCGTGTAGGTCCCTGTATGTACCCAAGAATGCTCTTTAGAGATTTTATCCAACTCTGACCCCACAAAACCATCAGTATTCTCTTGTACCCAAGTGACCCTTCAGCCCCTCAGAGTCAAGAGCTACTGAAGGTTTCCTTCACGAAGATCTTTACCACACCGAGGTCTCCTGTCAAGACCCCAACTGCTCCCCAATCCACAGTCCTACTTCAGCATAGCATAAGCAGACTACAGACCCAGTTTAAACCCCATGTTGCTCCAGGCTCCCAAAGCTGTAACCCTTTCCAAGAGCAAAGACAAGTTCCCAGTGCTGCCAAGGCTTTCTGATGTACATCTGTACCTGATATCGACGGAGAAGGCACCAAACCCTGGGCAGGAACTTTTCAAAGCCTGAGTCATCAATGCAGCTGTACCGATAAAGAAGCCACTGGAAGAGAAAGTCAAGCCATTGAACAGGAACCAGGAACCAGGAACAGCTAAGTTATGGTGATACATGCACATTGTGACAGGGAGAGGGAGGCTGAGGAGCAGGTGGGCTCTGCAGGGAGTTGTCAGCACATCTGCTGTCACTGCGTGAGCCACCAGCTTGTCACTAACATGAAATGAATGAACACCACACCAGCACGTGTCTCCCAGCAAGGATTGCCTTGGTTTGAGTACAATGTTCTGGCAGCACAACACTTACTCAGAGCACAAACCCAACACCTGGGAAATACTCCCAGCAGAGCCTGACCCCAGCTAAAGTGAGAGTAGCTGTCCTCATGGCCATGGCAGTGTCTGACAGCCCTGCAGGGTCAGCTGGGCAGCCTGTCCCCAGCCCTGCCCCGAGGGGCAGCAGAGTCAGTGCCCAGCCCTTACCAGCTTGCTGAAGTAGTTGCGGCTCACTTTGACCATCTCCCCCTTGTACCGCACGCACGCCACGTTGTTCTCCATGTGCATCTCCACGCTGGGGAGCGGCGGGGAGGGGATGGCCAGTCTCACGGGGTAGCAGTACACCAGCCTGTCCTGGACCTCAGGAGCTTCTACCTCAGCTATGGAGAATGAACAGAAAGGCAGCCGGTGAGAAGCTAAGAGTATTCAGGACCAATCTTCAGTCCACCTCAAAAGACACAGCAAACCAAATAGGGCTAAAGAGCAGGGTGGTCCTCCCAAAAATCCACCATGGTGGTCCCTCACAGATCTTGTAGGCAGCTACCTCGGTTCAAAGCTGATTCCCCAATGCAGACAGCACACAGCCACTCCAGTGTCTTGAGGAGTGTTCCAAACACACAAAACACTCTTTTTGTTGTTGATGTTTCTTACTTCATTTTGCCCCAAACTACCCAAAGCTCAATAAAAATTCACAGGCTGTGAAAGGCAGGTGGCAATGGAATCTCCCTGCACCTTGTGGTTATCCAATGCCACAGCTTCAGGGAGAGCTCACAAATCAGATGGAAGGAATCTCTGACTTAATGGCGTTGGAAGATAAGCATCAAAAACAATAACAAAAGGCAGACATTGGGCACCTGAAGGGAGCCTGAGGAGAGCCAGGAGCCAAAAGGGAAAAGGACCACAGACAATGGCAATGAAAGAAGCAGACCCATGGAGGAAGGAAAAGCTGAGTGAAGGCAGATGTACAGATGTGAACAAAAGAAAGAACAGAGAAAAGATCAAGGAACACGAACTCTGCCAAGAAAGAGTGCACAGTGAGAAGCTGGGAGACAGAGGGGTGCAGAAGGGTGCTCAGAACACAAGAAAGTGGCAAACGAGAATAAAGGGCAGACACTCAGCATTACTAATGGGGTGTCAGCTGTCCCCAGGAATTCATGAAACATCAAAGCAAAAAAGCATGGTCCAGTGAAATGAACGAATGCCCTGCTCAGTGTGACCTGCTCCTAACAAGCTACTTTGTCCTGGCAAATCACATATTTGTAGTATCTGATGTTACAGCTGGTCACAGAACGTGATGGAAGACAGTCTGTCACTGCAGACACTGTGACTGAAAGCTGAGGCCTATGCTGGACTGGCTGTTTCTTACTTTGAAACACAGATTTTCTGACTTTTGGAGACATAGCTGCCCTCCCAACAGGTAACCCTCTCTGAATGGGGACAAGCCAGACCACGGGACTTTAACTGCAGTGGTGCAGCTCTACAGCTCCTCAAAGCTGGCTGCATACCAGAGATATTGTTCTCCTTGAGTATGGCAAGATGCTTCTCCCGGATGCGCTTGACGTATTCCAGGGATATGTAGTAAATTTTACTGCAGATGCCTTCGACAGAGTCCTTGGCTGCAGCAGACACATGGGGCCCACACTGCTTGCGTAAGTGCTCCAGGCGGTCCTGAGGAAACAGAGAACCAGAGTCTCTCACATGGCCACCACTGGTTCTCCAGAGGTCTTCAGTGTCTACAGGCTGCTCTCCCAAGGCACACATCAAGGGGAGGCAATGCTAGCCATCTCCAGAAGGACCTGTACATGTCCCCTCCCCAGCCCGCTGTGCCCAGCCACACATCAGTGGTGCACTGACCATGTAGTCCTCCTTGGAGGCAGAATGGTCCCGTCGCAGCCAGCTGAAGGTGTCCTCCACATTCCACTTCACCACCTTCCTGCTGTCTGGGGAAGCACTCCTGCAAAAACAGAGGCAAAATTTAACTCACAGCTGCACAACAATATATTCCACCCCCCTCCAAAGTTTTCTATCAGTGGGGAATGTGGACACTGATACTTGTCAAGGCCCATCCCTGTAACTCCCCTCCAGTTCTCTGGAAAGGCCTTCCAGACATTTGCAAGACTGCGGACTGCTATATTCTCTCCAAAACTTGGTGTAGCTGGCTGCGATCCTCTCTGCAACAGGAGAGGCCCACAAAGCCTTTATTTGTCATGGTGCTGGTCCATTTTAATACTACCTCTAATTTTCAAGTACCGCTAGGTCTTGTGACTCTGAGAAAACTACCCTGTTTATAAGCTTTTCCTTTCCACACAAGGTTCTCCCTCACTGTCTTCTTCAGAAAAAACCCTACCTTGTATACAAAATGCCACTCAAAGCTTGTTGCTCTGTAACAGCAGTGAGTGCCCAAGCACTCCTGATTTTCCTGATTTTATCTCAGGGATAACAAAGACATTCCACACCCAGTACTTCATTGTCTCCACACACACTCAG